TTAAACAAAATCAATTAAAATGAGGGAAAAGCTCTCCCTTGAAAGCAAAAGCGGAATGAAATAAATGAACCTAGCTATGTATCATGTCATTGATGAATTAAACTCAGCAGAATTATTTCAACTGGCAAATGCAAAGTAATTTGTCTGTTCTGCTAGTGGGGTATAGCCTAAGGCAAAAAGAACTGCAAAGAAACCTTAAATTGTTTTTAGTAATGATAGTGTTAGTAGTATACTGGTATTGTTTTTCTGAAACCATTATATACATTTTCTCTATGTATATGTTAGGATCAAGCAAAAAAAGTAATTGTGTTAATGTCACTGGAAACAAGGATGTCAGCTTAAAAGAGATACAAATATAAAGTCAAATATAGTAGGTAAACAATTGTTTGCTATGTGAATTATATATCAATAAAGCTGTTTTTAAAAAGAAAAAGAAGATAAATACAAATCTTATAATCCTAATTTTGTATTGGAAATACTAGTTACAAATGAATGATGTATTCTTTTCCTCAAAAAATTAATTCCCACCCTGAGCAATATAGTGAGACTCCATCTCTACAAAAAATAAAAAATAAGTCAGGTGTGGTGGCTCATGCCTGTAGTCCTAGCTACGCAGGAGGCTGAGGTGGAAGGAATGCTTGAGCCCAAGAGTTTGAGGTTGTAGTAAACACAGATCACACCACTGTACTCTAGTCTGGGCAATGGAGCAAGAGCCTGTCTCAAAAAAAATATTATAGTCAAAATTTTAGGTGTGATAATGCTTTAGGAAAGGTTGTTTAGGTATGGTTTACATTTTAAGGTGTCCTTATCTTTTAGAAAATAATGCTGAAATATTCTATGGATGAAATGGCATAATTTCTGGGAATTTTCAAAATAGTATAGAAAGAAAGTGGATGGGGTATTAAAGAAACAAAATTGACCATGATTGAAAATTCCTGAATCTGGGTGATGGGGGTGGCAGTGTTGACTGTACTATTTTTTCTGCTTTTTTATATGTGAAATTTTCCGTAATGAAAAGTTTAAAAATATATACACCGGAGGAAAAAATGAGTTCCCTTTGCAAAGAGATGCACCCAACTAGCAGAAGTGTTAGAGGAGAGCTGGTTGAATCATTCAAGGAATAGAAAGAGCAGCTACAGAAAGAAAATCCAAAGCCAAAGGCCTGATGAAAGAGAGAGACGAAGTGGAAAGTGTTTGAGGCTGAGCATGGTGGCTCACGCCTATAATCCCAGCACTTTGGGAACCTGAGGCAGGAGGATCACTTAAGCCCAGGAGTTCAAGACCACCCTGGGCAACATAGCAAGACCTCATCTCTACCAAAATTAAAAATAAAATGAGAACTTAGCTGGGTATGGGGGTGGATGTCTGTAGTCCTAGCTACTCAGGAGGCTGAGGTGGGAGGATCATTTGAGCCCAGGAGTTTGAGGTTACAGTGAGCTGTGTTCACACCACTGCACTCCAGCCTGGGTAACAGATATATATGGGACAAGTGAACATGCTCAACAATATCTGACTGTAACTGGGAAAATATGGAATATGGGTCACTCTACAGGGCAAATAACCTACATACATAGAACTAGGAAATATGCGTATGTCCTAGTTTTGACCGGCCTGGAAATAATGACTAACCCATAACAACATGAGCTTCCCTAGCTACTCTGATGGTGATCCGTAAATACCATTACCAGTTGAAAGGAACCAGGGTTCCTTGGGAAAATAAATGACTGATTCCAAGTCGGGGCAAGAAATGTACAAGATCAGCCGCAAACATCTTTTCATACCATAAAGCCAGGACATTATCAAAGATTACTGGGATATGTCCAGAAGATTCAGGAGCCAAATTGAAAAGACTCCACTGGCCAAAGAAGGGATAATCTGAGCATCAAAAAATAATGATTGACTGGGCCCAGTGGCTCACGCCTTCGGAGGTCAAGGTGGGCGGATCACCTGAGGTCAGGAGTTCAAGATCAGCCTGACCAACATGGTGAAACCCCATCTCCACTTAAAATACAGAATTAGCCGGGCATGATGACGGGTACCTGTAATCCCAGCTACTCGGGAGGCTGAGACAGGACAATCATTTGAACCCAGGAGGCAGAGGCTGCAGTGAGCCGAGATCGCACCATTGCACTCCAGCCTGGGCAACAAGAGTGAAACTCCATCTTAAAAAAAAATAATAATAATAAATAAATACATAATCATGGTTACAGAAATTACAGTAGATTGACATATATCAAATATATGAAAATGTCTGAATTCCTAATGATTAAAATGTAAAAAAGCCTCATTAATCATCTTTGGAGGGTGCTAAGGAATCAGCTCATTATTCTGCAAATGGGTAAATAAGGGGAAAAATTAAGCATTTTATCTCATCTTTTCTGTAGGACTGCAACCAAAGAGTTATGAGAGAAAGTTTATAGAAGTATCGTAGCATCTCCTAAAGAAAGGATGGATCTAGGCGGTGATCCTCAGTGGCTACTACAAGCATTCTGTGCAGAGCCACTGAGAACTTGATCAGTTCTAGCCAAGAACACTTGAACCTAGTCTTTTTTTAAAATTTGAGATGGAGTCTCACTCTATCACCCAGGCTGGAGAACAGTTGGCGTGATCTTGGCTCACTGCAACCTCTACCTCCCGGGTTCAAGCGACTCTCCTGCCTCAACGTCCCGAGTCGCTGGGACTACCGGCGTGCGTGCCCACCACGCCTGGCTAATTTTTGTATTTTTAGTAGGGACAGGGTTTCGCCATGTTAGCCAGGCTGGTCTCAAACTCCTGACCTCAGGTGATCCGCCTGCCTTGGCCTCCCAAAGTGCTGGGATTGGAGTCACAAGCCACTGCACCCAGCCTGAACCCAATCTTGATCAATAATTTTTTTTTTTTTTTTTTTTTGTGAGGCAAGGTCTCACACTGTCACCCAGGCTGGAGTGCAGTGGTGTGATCTCACGTCACTGCAGCCTCAACCTCCTGAGCTCAAGCGATCCTCCCACCTCAGCCTCCCAGATAGCTGGGACTACAGTCTCTGTCTAGTAGGAGAAAGTCTACAAAGCAATCTACAAAGTAATATGGAAAAAGGAAAATCAGTTTAGATGTATACCATAAGGTTAATTATCTCTGTGTTGTACAATTATGGGTATTTTTATTTTGCATGTGTGCTTGTCTGTATTTTTTTCCAAAATTAACATGTTACAGGTTGCACAAAAAATGAGGTGTTTTTAAAAGTAAAACTTACTGAACTTTCCAGTCATCTGAATAAAAAGAAAGGAGAGAGAGGAAAAGGAAAAAAAAAAAGTCAAGATCATTTGGCTAGATCTTAGGCATATTTTATTAGCATATGACATCTAGTACATATTGGAAAGCAGATAAAATCCTGTCCAAGCTTGACTCTGAGAGAAACTTTCCAGAAATTTTATAAGCTCAGTCCTGACACAGAAGAAGAGGTTCTTGGTGCAGGCTTATCCAGGGACCATGTTCGCTTTGATATTACACATAGACCATAACCAGGATCCTCGGAGCCTCTGGCAAAACATCAAATATATTAATTTACTTAGATTTTATATACTTGACACAAGAAATATGCATTACCCTTTTACATGGGATGCTGGGGGAGTGCACTGACTTAGTTGCTGGGACCCGGCTCTGAGCTCCCAAGTGTTGACATCTTCCTAGCAAGAGTGATGGGGGAGGGAGCAGGATTCAGAGTTTTCTGCCTCTTTCAAGTTCATGTCAAAATCTCTAATACCAGACCTCTGAGTGATAACTGATACTGTTGCTCCTGGGACTGCCGGTTATAATGGTGTTAGTGATGATAGGGATGAGAAATCCGTGCTGTGGTTGCTTCTGGGCTTGGAGGGCCAGCCCTGCAGCCTGCAGTTATTCAGTGGCTGATTCAGGGTGAGTTAGAAATAACGAGACGGAGCCACGGAGGCCCAAGCCTCCTCCCGACATTCATTTATGGCCAGGAAGGTCCTGAGCAGGCCGCATGGCAGAGTTCTCAGCACACAGTGGGTGATCAGGGACTGGCCATCTTTGGGGCTGCCAGGTCCCCTGAAAATGGCCTCAAAGCAGGGTGCTAGCGCCCATGTGAAGTTGTGCTCTCCAGTCATCTCTGAAGAGCTCAATTCCTGCTGCATCCTCTCCCTCTTCCTCACTTCCCTTTGCCTCTCTTCAGACTTCGTCTCCTCCTCCCCAAGCCTGTCCCCTCCCTCCCCATTCCAAGAAGAGTAAGACTTGCCTGTTCTTTCCCCCGAGCTCAGCATCACTTCACCCTCCTTCTCTCGCCTTTCCGCCCATCTCCCCTCCGGCCCAGATCAACCCTTCCCCTGAAGCTCTGGATCCTTCCTCACTTCCACAGGAACTTAGCCTCCTCTCTTTCTTTCTCTCCACCAGCAAATGCACTCAAATTCCTACTGGTCTGAAACCTCTCCCCTCGGCCCTGCCTCCTAGGACTCTGCTTTTCCTTTCTCGTCCCTACCAAACTTCTGTCTCCTATAGCTTTTAACCTGCTTTGCCCTCTCACCATGAATTCTCCTTCTTCCTCACTGTGGGTGGTCCACTTCCCAGAATTCTCTCCAAAATCTGTCTCCATGTACTGGTTGTATTTTTGGATGTATTTCTGCTCAACTGGACAGTGTCTCATCTCTGTGTTCCCAGATTGCAGGAACAATGTGGGCAGCAGTGACTATTTGATGGATGCCTGCACAACCTTCCAGAGAGCTTCTAGCTCTGAGAAATTGATCTTTGCTGAGCAAATCTTGTCTCTCCACTCCTACGGCTGGCCAAATAAAGACTGACCAGGCCTACTCCCTCAGACTCAGGCTCCACTGAACAAGATCTGTCAAACCCCTCAACAGAAACCCAGTGAACAGGCTGGGCGGAGAGGGGTATGCCGGAATCAGAGGGGGCTTCCAGCCGATCCTTAGCCAAGATGGATGCACAGAAGTGCCACCAGGACTCCACCCTGTTGCGTTTTTGTGATCCTCAACAGTCCTGTTATATTCCAGGTTCTCCAAGCCAGCACCCATGTTCCTGGATGACTCCTTTCGCAAGTGGGCTAGAATCCGGGAGTTTGTGCCGCCTTTTGGGATCAAAGGTCAAGGTATGTTGGGAACCCTGCCCTACATTAACATCTCACCCCCCCGACTGTCTCCCTATCCTTCAGGATAAGGCTACATCCTCGAAGTCCCCATGCTAAGAATCCACTCTTCCTCTACTCTCAACAAATCTCTACCTTTTTCCCTTCCTTTTTTCACTTTTTTTTTTTTTTTTTAGATAGAGCCTTGCTCTGTCTCCCAGGCTAAAGTGCAGTGGCATGATCTTGGCTCATGCAATCTCCACCACCTTTAAGATCCTCCTACCTCAGCCTCCTGAGTAGCTGGGACCATAGGCACGCACCACCATGCCTAGCTAATTTTTTCTTTGTATTTTTAGTAGAGACAGGGTTTTATCATGTTGCCCAGGTTGATCTCAGACTCCTGGACTCAAATGATCTGCCCAAAGTGCTGGGGTTATAGGCATGAGTCACCGTGCCTGGCTTCTTCTTTAATGGAATATGTACACAGAGCCCACCACTTTGCCAGGGGCTAAGTATACAACAGTGAAGTGGACAGATTTGGTTCCTCTCCTCAAAAAGCTCCAGTATAGCCGAGATACAGATACTCAGAGTGCAGGGTTCTGGTGAGGGAAGTACAAGGAGCTTTGAGAGCACAGGAAAGGCGTGCCATAGACAGGAACACTAGAGTACTAGGTATAGTAGGGACATTCCCAGAGAGGTAACAGACTGTCCCCCAGGTGTGCCCCACACCCCTCTATCAGCCCATCCTGATGTTTTTCACCTCAACCTCGTCTCCCTTCCAGCCCTTCCTTATCCTGTCCAAGGCTAACCTGTCCCCTGCCCTCTTAGAAACTCCCCTTCTATTGCCTTGGGGACCTCACCCACACAGCTCCCTCCTAACTTAAGACTTTCCCATCCCGAGTAGTTGAACAATTCTGCTTCTTTGTCAAGTTCTGTGCTGTTTCATGGCATGGTGGAAAATAATCTGGACTTATGGGTCAGGCAGAGAGGGATCAGATCCCCATACTTCCTTTTTACTAGCTGTGACCCTGGGCAAGTTACCTGTCTGTGCTTTAGTTCCTTCAGCAGTTAAATGGAGAGAATTATACTACTGTGTAAAGTCTTGGTCAGAATTGCATAAAATAACAGCTAAAGGGGTGATATCATTTGGCCAGGAGACTCAAGAATACCTGAACCCTCTACTCAGCCAGCCTACCTCTCCCTGAAAAGAAGACAGTGGCCAGGAAAAGCACTTGAACTGGAGCTTTGACCTCAGACCTCCAAGGACAAATCTAATGGGTCAGGTTAAACCATGTGAAGAACACCTTTTCCCTGGGTGCAGGCAGCAAAGAAGGCCACTCTTCTCTCTCAAATTTGCACTCGAGACTCAGATGGGATAGCTACAAAGGCCAGGGAAGTTTGCTGTGGAGCCCATCAGCCAGCAAGCAGAGAGCACCTGCTAATGTGTACTCTTTCTGCTGAGGTTCTCCTCCTAGAAAACAAAGCCCAGTCCATATCCTTGACCTTGGCTAATTTTAGTAGCAATACGCTCTTCCTTAAAGGTGAAATTGGAAGTGGGAAAAGGAGGGAATCTGTGGCCTTTCTTAAAGCCCACCATAAGGTATATCTGAAGGCACTTAGTGTAGAACATTGCTTAAAGGTTTGTTTCCCTACCTCATTCTCACTCAACTGGAAGGATTCTCTACCTCATTCTGGAAGGATTAACTGCACCTACTGCCTGCTCTTTCTCACCATTTACTCCTGAAGAACATCTGCATCCCTGCCCATCCCACCCCACCATTCCAGTGAAACTGCTCAGTGTCCTGGAGAAATCCAAGGGATACTTCTCAGTCCTTAACATGACCTCTCGGCTACCTCTACCAGCGTCTCCACCCCTCTCCTTTAAAAAAGTATAAGTTTGTTATTTTTAATTTTGGAGCCATCTTTTCTTTACAAGAAATATTTCAAGCATATAAAAAATACTAGGAATAATGAGCATTGATGTACCTTCTACTCAGCTTAAGAAATAAAACATGAGATACAATTAAAGCTTCTGTGGAGCCCTTCCCACTCCATTCTCTTCCTTCCCCAGGAAGCCATTATTCTTCATTATCCTGGCTTCAGTGTTGGCATTCTTATGCCTTGTTTATGTATATTTGGGACAGGGTCTTGCTTTGTCACCCAGGCTGGAGTGCACTGGCACACACAGGACTCACTGCAGCCTCAACTCCCGTGCTCAAGCAATCCTCTCACCTCAGCTCCCCAGGTAGCTGGGACTAAAGCACACACTAGCACTCCTGATTAATTTTTGTATTTTTTTGTAGAAACAGGGTTTAACCATGTTGCCCAAGCTGGTCTCAAACTCCTGAGCTCAAGCAATCCTCCCTCCTTGGCCTCCCAAAGTGCTGGGATTACAGGTGTGAGCCACCACACCCAGCCTTATGTATTTTCACTACATATTTATATTTGTGTATATGTGTATGTATATTCTTCATTTTTTTTGAATATGTTTTTGAGATTTATCTGTATTGATGCATATAGCTCTAGGTCATTGATTTTTTTTAATGGCTGTATAGGATTTCATATACCACATTTAATCTGTTTTTTGTTTTTTGTTTTTTGTTTTTTGTTTTTTTTTGGTGGACATTCAGCTTGCCTCCAACATTTTGCTGTAACAAACAGCTCATCAGCGGACACTCTTGCATGTCTCCTGGAGCAAGCGTGTGACTTTGTCAGTGCTCCGCGCCTAGGAGCATAGTTGTAGGATCTTAGTGTATGCACATCTTTGTGGTTATTTGATGTTATTAAGATGCTCTCCATTGTAGTGATATCAGTTTACTTTATTTTTAGGTCTTTATGTACATTATTTTATATCTTCCTAACAACTCCACAAAATAGGAATTACTTTCATTTTAGAGATGAGGAAACTAAAGCTCAAAGAAAGGAAATGATTTATGTAAGGTCACAGAGTACAGCCAGTATTTGACTCCAAAGCCAATACCCTTGCTATTCACTATACATTATATTGTAGTGCTCTCATGATACCAGTTTGGAAGAGCAGTCCTCATTGCCAAAGCCAGAGAGAGGCTGAAGAGATGAGGTCTAAATAGTGGGCACAGGTCTGAGAGCACAGAAGTCACAGGGGTCCTTGCTGAGTGGAGTGCAGGTGGGCAGAGCCAGGCTCAGGGAGTAAAGGAGTGAGGAGGTAAAGTCAGCCTGGCAAAGAGCAGGATTCAGGATTGGCAATGTGAGAGGGAGAAAGTGAGGGAAAGGTGATGTCAGATAATGAGGCACGTGGTGAGCTCTTCAGCTGTTGGGTGTCTCCTTGTTCGTTTCCTGGTATCTGCTGAGTGGGAACACAGAGATAAGCACAAGGTGGTCTCTAGCTCTGAGCAGGTACTCCCATTCCAGGGGGGACCGCATGCTCCAGCTTCCAGGGAAGGCCCTGGCCTAGGAATGCATGCCCTGGGGCCTGACTACAGAGCCTCAGAAAACCAGTTGAGCCTCCCAGAAGCCTGGGAGAGAAGCTGCGTGCCAGTGTTAGGGACGGGCTCCTGGCAGTGATATGCCTGTCTGTTTCCTGCCTTCACTTCCTTTGTCAGGAATAAAGTCAGGGCAGTGGCCCAACGCATTCTCGTGTCCAGAGGTCTCTCTACTTCCACTTTCACTCTAGCCCCCAGGAACTTGTGCCTTCCAGTAGGATTATCTGTAAACGTTTGGTTTTTTTTTTTGAGACGGAGTTTCACTCAGTCGCCCAGGCTGGAGTGCAGTGGTGTGATCTTGGCTCACTGCAAGCTCCACCTCCCAGGTTCACACCATTCTCCTGCCTCAGCCTCCCAAGTAGCTGGGACTACAGGTGCCCACCGCCACGCCCAGCTAATTTTTTGCAATTTTAGTAGAGATGGGGTTTCACCATGTTAGCCAGGATGGTCTCAATCTCCTGACCTCGTGATCTGCCCGCCTTGGCCTCCCAAAGTGCTGGCATTACAGGCGTGAGCCACCACACCTGGCCTATCTGTAAACATTTTATAGAAACGTAAGTGACCCTGTAACAGAAACCTCTCTCCTCTGTCTGCAGACAATCTGATCAAAGCCATCTTGTCAGTCACCAAAGAGTACCGCCTGACCCCTGCCTTGGACAGGTGAGCCACACACTGCGCAGCCTCCTACCCACCGCTGCCTGGTGGTGTGCAGAGGTGTTGAGGTCCAGCTGGCCTTCCCTGGACATGAGCAGTTTCTCCAGCACATCCACACATGCACATACAGTACACACACAGGGTGGGTGGAGCAGGTAAGTGGTACCACTGCACCTAACTTGCACCCCCATGGGTTGTAAGCACTTGGCAGACATCCCAGTCCTCAGATACCAGAGGTTTGAGGGTAAGAACTGAAGACACTGGGGCTGGGACTAGCCCAGCAATGAGACTGAGGGCCTGGGTGGCAGGGGCAGGTGAAGGGGGCAAAGCTTAAGTCCAGAAGGCAGTGACAGCTCCCAAACCAACAGACCCTAGAGTGGGAAGTGCCAGGGTCAGGGATGGGAGAAGCACTATGAGTAAGCTCCCTAGTGACTGCTGGGAGCCTTGAGTCCTAGAGCCTCCTGTCCTGTTCCCCTTTTCTTCTTTTTATTTTTTTTTCTTTTTTTTTTTTTTTTTTTTTTTTTGAGACAGAGTCTTGCTCTGTCACCGAGGCTGGAGTGCAGTGGTGTGATCTTGGCTCACTACAAGCTCTGCCTCCCAGTTCACGCCATTCTCCTGCCTCAGCCTCCTGAGTAGCCGAGACTACAGGCGCCCGCCACCATGCCCGGTTAATTTTTTGTATTTTTAGTAGAGACAGGGTTTCACCGTTTTAACCAGAATGGTCTCGATCTCCTGACCTTGTGATCCGCCCACCTCGGCCTCCCAAAGTGCTGGGATTACAGGCATGAGCCACCACACCTGGCCTGTTCCCCTTTTCTTGCTTTCCTGGTATAGCCCCAAGCTTGGCCCACTTTTCCCTTTCCCCTGAAGCCTGCCTAAACACCACTACCCCTTGGGGAACCTTTACCCTGGAATGCCATCTTACCAGGGCTCCCTCCTCACTACCCAGGCCTGGCACCCAAGCCTTTCTATGGCCCTGTTTTCCTGGGGAAGTGTCAGGGCCTAGAGATGCTGGAGAGTCTCAGGGCCCAGCTATCCATTGTATGCTTCAAGCCTTCTCTCAGAAATGCTGCCAGAAACCTACTGGTCTTCTTCCTCTATCCCAGCCTGGTCCTGGACAAGGGCATGGGGTCAAGGGCCAAAGGAGCAGGGGAAGAGACCTCGTGGGCAGTTCTCTGTACAGAGGTCTCCGCCTCTCTCCCCTCAGCCTCCGCTGCCGCCGCTGCATCATCGTGGGCAATGGAGGCGTTCTTGCCAACAAGTCTCTGGGGTCACGAATTGACGACTATGACATTGTGGTGAGGTGAGCTCCCCAAAATGGCACCTTGGGTGAGTGTCCTGGTCCAAACCCTTAGCCCTGAGCCCATTGAGAACTGTCTATCTGGCTAGTTGGGCTGGAGGTCAACAGAAGCCTCAAGAACCTGGGTTGGAGGGCTTTGGAACAGACAACTAGGGGTAGCGCCTGGGGGGAATAGGTCCAGGTGACCTGGACTCCTATTCTCCGTGCCTGGGGTATTCTGGGGTCATGGTGCCTTCCCAAACACAGGCCCAGGCTCTGACTGGGCCTGCTCTCTGTAGACTGAACTCAGCACCAGTGAAAGGCTTTGAGAAGGATGTGGGCAGCAAAACGACACTGCGCATCACCTACCCCGAGGGCGCCATGCAGCGGCCTGAGCAGTACGAGCGCGATTCTCTCTTTGTCCTCGCTGGCTTCAAGTGGCAGGACTTTAAGTGGTTGAAATATATCGTCTACAAGGAGAGAGTGGTAAGCTCTCCTGGCACCACCTCTTGCCCTGGCCTTCCCCAACTCCTAAGCAGTACCGCCCCTTGAATGCAGCAAAGAATGAGTAAGAACCTTCAAAAGAAGCATTAATGACCCAAAGCTGCAAGTCACCCAATGGCAGCCAAGGGGCAGAAAGGTCAGGAGATTGCCAGGGTTGCTGGCCAAACTCTGGGGGCTGATATGCCTGACACCTGCTACCTGCTTCTAGGTGCCCAGGTGCAGATCCTTCCTTAGCCTTCTGTAGTCAGACCCCAGCAGCCCCAGGGACCCTTCCCTGGCCTTAGATCTCCTGGCTGAGGAAAGCTCTGTCTCTCAGGCCAGCCTTCGTATCACTCCCAATCTTCCCACTCTGCTGCCCTGACATTGTAGCTGCCTCCCTTGCCCCCTCTTCTCCTCTGTAAGTTCTCTCTGACTCTGGTCTTAGGGGTCCCTGCCTTCTTTCTCAGCCTGGGTTCTGCAGGGACAGCAGACCCCTTAACTTCAGAGTGCCAGCTTCCAAGCTTGTAAGTCCTGGCCTCTTTCCACTTTGTACTTTTACCACTGACCATAGCTGAATCCCCAACCTGCCACTGAGTCTGATCATTGGGAATGATCAGGTTCCACTGACTATTCAAAGCATGTAAGGGTCTGGGCCCATTTCTTTAGGGAGCTTATGTGGCAGAGTAAGGTCAGCTGCTCTTTAGGAGACCACCACTGAGTTCCCTCCCAAGACCTCTACTTCCCAGCTCTGGGCCTACAGGGACATCCGTGAACTTGTCCAGGTCCACTCCCCCACAACCAGCTGTCACCAGAAGCCCCAGGGCTGGGGTACTACAGAGCTCAGGCCATTCATCTTCTAATACCCAAGCCTCTTACTAGAGGAGGAGGATGACAGACGGCCCTCTGCCTACAGTGAGAAGCTAGTTGTTCTTTCTGAAGGTTTAGAGAAGAGTTGGGAGTGGGAACAGCTTCCCTTGCCTGTAGGGTCTCAGTGCAATTTGGTTTAACTCCACAGCTCTTTCCCAAGCAAGGCCAAGTACAGGCAGTGTCAAGTAGGTAGCAAGCAAGAGAGAAGACAGAAGTCAGGTCCAGAAATTCAGGTAGGTGGGACAGTGGGGAAGGGGAATCCATATCAGAACCAGACTGGATGAGGCACCTGGGCTCCACGGTGTCCAGTCCACCTCCCCGAAGGGGAGGAAAGGGCCAGGCAGCAGAGTGATCGCTTGGCCTTAGCCAGACCCAGCTTCAAGTAGGCCCACTGCCCACACAGACCAGGTAAATAACAGTGGCTCCAGGAGTACCCTACTGTTTTCAGAACCCTGGGAACTGAGACACTAGTGTTTTCAGAGACCCTCTCTTTGCCTTGAGGGCAGTAGAATTAGGATCACAGATAGGCACTTTTAAGGGAGAATGGTAGGAAATAGGGTCTGTCCTGGTGAACCCCAGTGAGCCTAAGGGCTGCTGTCTCACTCACCCTGGCCTTCTGCCATCCTCCTTTCACATCATTTCCTCTGTCACAGCCTCCCTCAGGGCAAGAGCTCTTAAGGGACAGGGCTTGATCCCATTGGTTTTTACCCTTCAGTGCCCAATCACCATAAATGATCTGCAATTGGCTCAAACACCAGTTCCTACTTCCTACTGGGCAGACTGGGAGAAGCCAGGCAGTTCAAATAAGGCCGGGCCAAAGGGGTGGGTCAGAGCCTGTCATGGGTGTTATCACATGTTCCTTCCAGGAACACCAAGGTCAGTTAATTCAAGGTTCTTAAAATTCATCCGAGGGAGTAAGGAAAGAAAGAAGAAAAGGAAGGAAACCAGCTAGAGTCGGAGAACTCACTGTACTCAGGCTACTCAGGAAGCAGACAACAGAGCCTTGCTTTTCCCAGGAAGACTGAGGAGCTCTCCGCCCGGCCTGGCCTTGGCAGCAGGCAGATTCAAGGTACCAGCATTGCAGGATGAGGCACAGGCACAGGCTCACTCTTGCTGACATCTGTGTTGTCCTGGCCACACCTGGGGCTCTAGGACCAGCCTTGCATTGGTGGGAACTGCTACCCAGGATGGGTGGGGGTGAGTGGGAAGGAGAGAGAGGAGACAGGGAGGAGTCCTCTGAATTACCGTGGGCCTTCCTTGGCTCCAAAGTGAAAGATAATTTGGACCTTTAAAGTGAGCTGCCAGAGGAATGCCGGGGTTGCCCGTAGCCTCACCTCCCCCATCTCTCAGAGTGGACCTGCCCAGGCCCTTTGGCCACCCCAGGGACCTCTTCTTTAGTATCCTTCTCTACCCCAAGCCCAAGGCTAATGCCTTCCCAGGACCTCACCCATGCTTTGCCGCACTTCCCTGGCATCTGAGACCCAGGAAAATGTGAGAGAGGCTGCTTCTCCAGGTCCCCTCCTGTCTGGTGTCCTAGTCACCAGTTTGTCCTGCTCCTGTAGGGATGTTTCCAGTCATGCCGCCTCTGGGCTGCTGGAGAGCTCTCTGCACCTGTCTGGAGCCTCACCTGCAGAATTCTGGCAGGAGGCAGCTCTGGGTTCTGGAGCCAAGACCTGGCAGGTCGGGGCTGGAACAGGAATTAGGCCTTAGTCACAGCTGCTTCCTGCCACTTACTACATGAGGAATATGTAGTAAGCCTATAACTTTCTAGTACCCAGGAGTCCTCATAGGATATGGGAAGGGGCAGGGCAAGGGGGAAGATGTAGGAAAGGACGGCCAAACAACCCAGAGCTAACAGCCTGTGCCAGAGCTGGCCTTACTTTCTTGCATCTGAGAACTCTCCTCTTCATTTGTGGCCATTTGGGTCCCTGACTCACTGGACAGTGGCACTGATAACTCCAAACAGGTTACACAAAGGCCTTTTGGCTCCCAGATCCCAGGAGCTGTGGCCAAGCCAGCAAGCAGGTGTAGGAGTTCCCAGCAGGCTGTGTGCTCAGGGCAACTCAGAAGAGCACCAGTGGATGGGCAAGCACAACACAGAAGCTGAGGCTTGGAGAGAGGGTGGAGCCAGGGACATGGGGGTGCAGCCTCCAGCTCTGGTGCAGGCCTTCTCAGAGGTGCCTCTGCAGTCTTCCCAACACACTCACTCACTTATCAGATGTTCATGAGGTATTCTCTTTGCACGCTCTACACTGGCCCCTGGGAATACAAAGAGGAATTAAGCACTGTTCCCAACCAAAGTAGCTCACAGTCTAGTGGGAGAGATAGTCCCAGAGCTAGAGTTAACAGTACAGTGTGGAGGCTGCCATGATGAGGAAGGCCTAATGCAGCTCTGGGGCAGGTGGGGGACAAAAGAAGGCCTCCTGGAGGAGTCACTCCTGAGCTGGACCCTGAAGGAAGAGTTAGGAGTGAGTGGGCGAAAGGAATTAGAAGCAAAGGGAACAGCATGTGTAGACCCAAGAGACCATGCTCCCTTCAGGAAACTGGAGGTGTGTTGTGTGGATCAAGCATGGCACAATGAGGGTGGTGTGGCAGAGCGTGCTGCCTAATACCCCCAATGCTGTGGCCTGTGCATCCTCTTCCTGGTGTTGGATGAAGGCTGGAGACACCCCATCCACTGTCCAGAGGGCGGAGGCCTGGGGTCTGGAGAGGACAGGACAGGTGAGACGCAGAGCCTCCCATCCCCATCCCTCAGGCCCTGCCCTCCTGCCTTGGCCAGTCTCACCCACTGCGTCTCAGCAGGCCACAGAAGCCCCTGGGAACTGCCTCCCGACCCGATTTGCTGCCTCCTCTTCCTCCTCCCCACTCAAAACTGGAAAGCCAGCCTCGCTGCTGAGCATCTCTGACTGGTCATCAATTCATTGAGGCCCTGGGGCCTAGCCTGGGTGGGTGTGGGGTGGTCCCAGCCTAGCAGTGGGGAGAGGATAGGGGTGGGAGTGGGTCCCTGGACAGCCTTGACACAGCACTTACCCTCCAGCTGTACTTCAGTCCCTGGGAAGAGAGGGAGGAGGGCAGGATCTAAGAGACCAGCCAGGGCCCCACATTCAAGCACAGGGAGACTGAGTCCCTGATTTTAGAAAGACAACATGGCTTAAGAGGGGAAAGTGGCTTAGGCCTTGGAGTTACACAGATGTGGGTTTAAGTTTAGACTCTCATTTACTAGTGGGCTACCTCTTAGGCACTAAATCTAACCTCCTTAGATTTAGTGTCATTGATACAGTAGATGAGGAGTGCTGTGTATCTTTCAGGGTTATTTTTAAAATTAGATAAGATGAAATCTAGCCGGGCGCGGTGGCTCAAGCCTGTAATCCCAGCACTTTGGGAGGCCGAGACAGGCAGATGACGAGGTCAGGAGATCGAGACCATCCTGGCTAACACGGTGAAACCCCATCTCTACTAAAAATACGAAAAATTAGCCGGGCGTGATGGCGGGCACCTGTAGTCCCAGCTACTCGGGAGGCTGAGGCAGGAGAATGGCACGAACCCAGGAGGTGGAGCTTGCAGTGAGCTGAGATCCAGCCACTGCACTCCAGCCTGGGCGACAGAGCGACACTCAAAAAAAACGTCTCAAAAAAAAAAAGAAAAAAAAAGATGAAATCTAGAAGCATCTAGCATAGAGAACTTAGTTCTCAGTCTATAGCAAATAGTAATGTTATTTATTTATTTATTTTTTATCGCTGGTGGTGATTTTGCTGTTAGAAAAGCCCAATTATCCCAGGGAGCGAAGCACTTTTCTGTCAGGCTGTAGGGCTTGACCTAGGAGGTGACCCAGAAGCAGGGGTCAGAGGCCAGGCCTAGAGGAGGGAGAGACAAGGAGCCTCCTAGTGAAAGGCAGCAGGGCTGGACTAATCCATAGGGCAGAAGGGGCCACCACATCCCCAAATGTAAGGCTTCTTATTGGACCAGGCCCGAATGGGGATTGAATGATGTCCACCTGCACCTTCACCTGCTCCCTGCACTTTCACCAGCCTGAGAGGGATGCAGAGCCTTAGTGTGGACTCTGTCCTGGGAGACTCAGTGCAGGCCTCCTGCTGCCTAGCCAGCATTCACCACCCAGCCCAGGCTTCTCACCAAGC